TAGACCGGGTCTTCGCACTCTTATCCTACGGATACGGTGTCTGCCTAATGCTTAGCTAGTGTGCAAGTTTGCTAGCTGTGTAATGTTGGTATTTGTGGCCTGTGTGGGAGGAGTCAGAGGCGTGTTGGCGCGGGTGATTTCGTCTTCGGGGTATTCTATGACGTGCTGAGGCCGACGGAATCGGAGGGACCTACGAGTGGAGGACGGCAAGGCAGATAACTGACGACTTTAACTACTTGGACGTAAAGTCACACGCGTGTAAACCAGGAGATTAGTATCATAGTGTCAATTCTGTCTCTCCTTGATATTTTAATGAGGTATTTATTTTATTGTAAGAAGAAGGCTAAATAAAGAAGCTCTTTTAATTTAATTGACTATTGCAATGTACATGGTTTTGTGAATATATTTGGGGCAACTCGCTTTACACGAAATCAGAAAAGTACCTACTTCTAAGCCTGACCTTATTCAAATGGATTTACTACGTACTAGCGGCTGACGGCAACTTCGTCCGCGACAACTTTAGTTTTTTCCCGTCGGATTTTGGAATAAAACTACTTTTCCCACAACTTTTCACGGGCTTAAAAGTATCCCATGTCTAAATATAGGTAATAAACAGTATATTTTAAATTAAACGCATAGAGGTACCCAGAAAGAGCTAAAAATACGTATGTAATAATAACAATTCCCATTATTAAGTTATTAGGGCTCTTTAAATCTAAAGAAAAAAATATACTGTAGAAAAAATCCACGCAGTCCAGCCAGCTGCCGGGACTTGAAACATCTAGCAGTTAAATGCTTAAAAAATATAATAAATTGAAGCTCTTCTTTTATTCGACTTTTGTATAAACACCACCATAGATTCGATCACCAACGTTCTATGCTTAAGTTTAGTAGTAACTTAGATCACATCAGAATTTGCATTAGCACCATAAAAGCGCTGAAAAATAACCAAATCCATTTGACAAACATCTTGCGTGCGTCCCACAAGAAGTTTCCAATAATTTAATACCAATCTTATCGGGCGTTGTTAATGCCCGTATCATTAGTAGGAGACGGGCGTGTGGGCGTGCGCGCTTTGTTTGTATGCTGTCGCACCGCACGCGTGGGAAAGGGCGTGCCAAGTCTTCCCACCGAAGAAAGACGCATATGTCGCACTTCTGTGGAGGTTATTTCGGCTATGTATGATGTCACGCGCGACACGACACGAGCCCCGCTCACGAACCAATATCAATGTCAGTTGAATTATTTATATACTTAGTGGCCGCCAGAGACTTCGTCCGCGTTTACTTTGGTTTTTTGAGAATTCCACATCCTATGTCTCAATCCAGGCTATAATCTATAAGCGTATAAAATTTCATTCAAATTAGTTCACGAGTTTTTGCGTTAACAAGCAACTCACTTCTGCGTTTGTAATATTACTTAGGATTTTTAATATTGAACCACAAGGATCAATAATAAATAAGACAATGACATAGAGTATCTCATAATTTTTAGATTTGAAAATTTAAACGCACCATGTACAATATTCACTCACAAATTAATATTTGTTATTCAAATTTATTCAAAGGACTAAAATACATGCCCAGAACAATATGTATTAATTATTTAACGGTTTGGAAAGCCAAAACAGATTAAAGGCGCATACAAGTAAGAAGGATACCTATTATTTGCTATGAAAACGTTTTTATGTATTTCATTGTAGCCTTTTAAGTTTTATTTTAACCACAAAAATAGCCCAAATCCTTGTCTAAAGTGCCTACCAAAATTATGTTCATTGCTAAAGCTTAAAAAATAGACGTAGCTTATTTCGCAATAATTATAATAAAGGTATAGGCGTATCACACATTCAACCTCCCTAATGTCATTCACTTCTACCACTCATCAAAAACCAGCCAAGAATCAAAACAAAAAAGTGTTTGACTACAATTTATAAACAAAGCAAATGGTGACATGACGCATAATTCAAATATCTTTTATGCGTGAAGCGTAAACACCACTGTGTTTTATCGTTAACAGATTTTTTAAAAAATATTATGCAATGTTTTTGTAAATTATACCTAACGTGTAAAAATTTCTATATAAAAGCATCAGGAATTGATATCGTAGTGTCATAGTTCGTTCATTAAATTATAAAAGTTAGTCAAAACACAGACGACATAGCTCAACGGAGCGCCAAGCTGAAGTGGCAATGGGCGGGGCACATAGTTCGGCGAACCGATGGACGTTGGGGTCCCAAGGTGCTTCAACCGACCTCACACCGGAAAGCGCAGTGGTGGTAGACCCCTTACTAGGTGGACTGACGACATCAAGCGAGTGACTGGATGCGGAAAGCGCAGGATCTTGAAGGACCCACTGGATGCAGAAAGCGCAGTATCGCAGCAGTGGAAGTCATAATCATTATCATCTTTATTTGAAGAATATGGTAACAAATGGTGATACAGAGATAAAGAGCATCCTATATTCTTACCCAATGGTAAGAATTCATCAAAATTAATTGTCATGTTAAAAAAAAAAACGACGGGTTGCACTCCGGGAGTGCCGGCAGAAGTGAAAACTTGAATATTAACGTTGTGCATTTTTGATATTTTGGAATGGTTAGGGAATAATTTTGCACGCATTGCTTTAATTATCAGTATGTATGTGGTATATAGTACTATCATGTATGTGGTAGAATACAATATTTATTTATTGCGTTATTGTACACAAACATGACAATTTATATTACATTAAAAAGTTTATCTCTCAGAAAAATCAACTTACACGAATCACGTTTAAGCGCACTTAGCGACATCTATTGTAAAAAAATCAACTTACATGAATCACATTTAAGCGAACCTGGCGACATCTGTTGTAAAAAAATGCATTTTCTTCGCAATAAAGCTGCTACGTGGACGTCCTAGATAGAGACTTATTTTTATAATGCGGTAAAATAAAATATTACTATGTTTCGTCCAATATATTGAAAGTCAACAACCTTTCCAATTTTATTGTGTGTCATGATGCGGTCAGCCCTCGTGTTTAACCTGACGCGAGTTTAACATTTTTTACCCATACAAAAAAAAGTGTACAACGCCGCTAAAGAAGTTTTCACTTCAATAGGTTAAAAGGTATAAGTTTTTAAATTACAATTATTCTATTCATTGAGCATAATAAGCCAATGGAGGATGTTAGTCAATAGATCTTTCAGTATTTACGAAATAGACCTTAGCTCAAAAGCTACACATGGCTTTAGTTCAGTACTTGTAGAAAGTATGGTTTGGTATTATAAATCTTTATTTTAATTTCGGACAATAGGAGGTTGCTGACGCATTTGAAAACCATTCTGAGGTTGACAGAAAAACATCTGTGTGCGGAAGAAAATTTTAAAGTAATATACCGAAAATTCTTACTTTTTTGTAATAAATTAAATGACGACTTTATGGCATGAATTTCGGCCAAAAGTGAAATATCAACGCAAAAGTGTAAAATTCTGGCAAACTTTTATTTAATGAGTTATATACCCACCTAGCATGAGTACCGCTATATGATACATAACGCGTTTTTATCATGCTCAATTGTCAAATTTCTATGGAGTTTGACAGTTAGACGCGATAAAAAACGTGATATAATGTAAATTGTGATGCTCATGCTAAGGGGAATGAGTCATTGATTTAGATCAAATACAGATAAAAAAACTTTTATCTTGTAGGTACTGACCAAAACCCAAAGCCATTAATTACTAAACGAAAATCCATATCGTCATCGATGACGAAACTAAACAAAAACCGTGATCCGCATTTTCTAAGAAAACGGCCCCTTTTCTCGAGTAAATGTGATCTTAGAATCTTGGTGTCATTCACTTTTTGTACGTAATATCGGTGCGTCGTCAATGATGACTCATGTATGTGATCACCTTTGTTTACACGTTGAGGAATATATTTAGACGCGGACGTAAGAAAAAGAACCTTGCGTATTAAACACATACGACCTTCTTGCGTCAAAATTAAAAATTAATATATTTACCTCCTTTTTGATTTCTTATATTAGAAGAAGAACATCGTAAGGGCAATATTATTAAGGCAATTTTCCGTTCGTATTCTTGAGGTTGTTACATAAATTAATGACGTGAGGAGCAAATCAAATTCGATGACGTTTGATTTCTGACTTCGTATTGCAGATATTGTAATGACGACGCCAACATTATAAGCGTTGCGTCGTGCGTCATGTATGAAGTAAAATGTAGAATGAGTCATTGTTTTGTGATATGATAGAGTTTGGTGTTGCATAATACAATGTTTATCTCTGATTGGATTATGTGAGTGTGATTTCGGGGAAACACTCGTTTTGATGTCAAGGTATAAACTATTAAGTTTGTTTACAAAAACAAACTAATATATCGGTTATTAACATGAGGCTCGGCGAACTTGGCGGATTGAGAATTCCTTGAACCAACTCTGTGAAATAAGCTGTATTTTTTTAAAGATACGACAAATTTTGTGCCCTGTGCATTTTTACAGTTACAATTATACCAAACTTCATTGACACACCTCACATAACACTGAGGTAAATATTGTTTCTTAGATTTTCAATTTGATCCGATTTTTGTTGAACCTTCCATTAATACGTATCGGTAATTGCAATATAATCTTTCAGTATCAATATAATTTTCGAAAATGGAATTGTCATCATTGGGGTTTTCTTTTAAATATTTGCTTCTGATTTAGAAAATGCAATTTATATGCTTAAATGCAATTTCTAGAGGTAGAAATTGCATTTAAGCATATGCATCACCAACTTATCTATAGAATTAAGAAAATCTTTACAGAAATTAGTTATTTTCATTGAGTGACAAGGAACCGAACATAGTTCCATTTTCGAAAATGATATTGATACTAAAAGTTTACATTGCAATTACTGATACGTATAAATGGAAGGCTCAATAAAAAAACGGATCAAATTGAAAATCTAAGAAACAATATTTACCTCAGTGTTATGGGATATGTGTAAATGAAGTTTGGTAGTGCACAAAATCTGTCGCATCTTAAAAAATTACAGCTTATTTCACAAAGTTGGTTCAAGAAATTCTCAATCCGAATGATGACAATTCCATTTTCGAAAAGCAAATCTGTGCTCAAACCCCAAACTGCCCAAAAGGCCCAAACCGAAAGAGAAAAGGGCAAAAGGGCTAAGCTCGCATGCCAACAAGACTACCTGGACCCAAAAATGTTAAGACGACCCATCGTGGTCCGTGCCATTTATTATAGGTTTTTGTGCCAGTCTTTTGTCTATGGAAGTCTTTATATTTTACCGCCAAAACCCAAAATCCTCGTGTGGCGGTCGGCAATATAACTTTAGAGATAAGAAACATTTATTTTCTGTTTAATATTAATGGCAACGGTTTAGCAACACTGTACAGTTATTCTTACTAAAAAATATTGTTCTTCAAATTATATTGCATAAGTAATAACTGTTTTGGTGGTCTAAGTTAACAATACTCGTACTTGCAAGAAGTGAACATAAATATTATCGTGATTTGGCTTATTTTGGTTTTGAAATGTTTTAGTAGACCAGGGAAGGTTGGGAAAACATGGAAAAATTGCAAGGAAGATAGTAAAAACAACAATTTCATTTTCCCATATAAACTGTTCTACCTACTTTTCTGACAAACTTCAAAAGGAAAAGCCTAAAAAATCTGTAATGTAATTAAGTGATACGGAGTACACCGTCATCTAGTGTTAAATATAATTATTATGCTCTCTGTAAGGTAAAGGCATATCATATCTGTAAGTTAATAGGTACCTAACGAAAATGAGTCAACTCACTTCTACAAATAAATAACTCTTTCAGTTCAGCTAGGATGGGACAATTTGAAAATTGACTTACATAAAAACATATATATGTACTAACATATAAATCATCTTCACATTCAAAAAGATATTAGCAGTAAAATAACGTAACAAATTGTAAGAGTCATGATGTCAACCTCATGAATCATGTCATCGAAAGTTCAAAGATGAAATTGCCAATCTTTCAAAACCTACTATCACTGATATTACACTTTAATACAATACATATTATTATTACTTACTTGTTTCTATCCTTTTTTATTACGCAGGCAAAACCTTTATTTACAGCCGATGGCGCCCTTAAGGGGCACACCAACTAACGGACCTCACACCTAGCCTCTTGCAAGTCTCACGGGTACGAAACGGAAAAGCCGTTAAGCAATCCGCGCTGATTACGAGTGCTTGCGGCATACTATCCGCTAAAAAACCCTGCGAATACCCTCTACGCTGTTAATTGTGGAACCGCGAGATCCCCGTTGAGGGACTTCACCGCGTCTCCGCACCAAACAGCTTCCCGGCCTAGCCAGGGCTCCACGGCAGAGATCACTTGGGGTATTATAACTGCACTTTAAATACTCATCTCATATCATATCTCATACTCCTACGAAACGGCTTGACCGATTTTTATGAATTTTTACATGCATATTCAGTACGTTTGAGAATCAGCTACTATCTATTTTTCGTACCCCTAAGTGATAAGGGTTGTCCACCATTAATTTGTTTTTTCGGACAATTTTTTTGTTTTTTTTTTATGATACATCTTACAAAAATACATACAACCCCAAATTTTCACCCTTCTACCACCAACCCCTATTTTTTTATTGCGGTACGAAGTTCGCTGGGACAGCTTAATAATAATCTATGTACTATTTTGGGTGTGATTCATAGATTATGATAAATTTAATAAGATTCAGACTTCTGAATCACACCTATGACAAATTAATACCTTTTTATGTGTGGCAAACAAGCTTATGGCCCGCCTGATAAAAAGCAGCCACCATAATCTATAGACGCTTGCGATACCAAAAAGATGCCTACCCTGACCTAATCCCCTACCCCGTGGAGGCCTGAAACCTTACTCACCGACAGAAACACAACACCACCAACAAAGGTACTGTTATTTCACTGGTATCTTATATATGGTGGAGGTTACTTCCCCAGACGCGCACTCCAATTCGAGGAAGAATAAATGTATATATTATTATTTCCACACAAATATAATTCTTATATTATATTATATTACCGCACGTATCCTACGTTACTCGAGGAGGAGCTCGATGGCGATGTGATGTCGGTCATTGGATGGGTGACCAGAAATTTATAATCTCGAGCTCCGTGCTTGTGAAGGCACGTTAAGCCGTTAGTCCCGGTTACATTTGCAGTCGTTAGTACCCACCAATCTGCACTAGGCTCGCGTGGTGGGTCATGGCATAATCTCCCTATTCCATCCATAGGGAAGGCCTGTGCCCCAGCAGTGGGGACATTAATAGGCTGATGATGATGATCCTACGTTACGATGCAACAAAAATATTTGTCGTTACTTCCATCTTTACCTTGCCCGCATGTACCCAATGCCCTACCCCATGTGTTCTATAATAATATATTTATTTATTTGAATAGTATTGAGTCCGAACTTTATAACAGTAAACAAAAACTAAGTAAATATCGCTTTTGTAAATGTCCAAGCGCCCTCACAGTAATAACACGGGTCTTAGAACTGAACACAAATAAATTGTTTAACATTTACCCTGGTGTACTGCCATGGTGGAGTTTGCTAATGACAACAATTAGCGGCGTCTTTTGAAACATTCGAAAAATAATGGTCAAAGATTTTAAGGCAAAAAGATTCTGAATGAAGTCATTGTTCTTAAATCTACGTGCAAGTATTTCAGTTTGAAACAAAAAAGTTCTGTAAAAATTCTTTCACCAAAACTTTATAAGTGAAGCTTTTGAAAGCGAATTCGCTTTCAAAGAAATGCAAAAATTGTAGGTTGATTATATTAAAAGTTACTTTTTCAGTTTCGTCGTAATTTTATTTATAGGATGTGAATCTTATAACTGTCCTATTTAATATAATTAAAGCATGTGTGTCTTATTTTATTACCAAAGTTAATTCAATTAATAGAAAAGTGAGAAAAAGATTGTGATAGCTAAATAATCGCCTCTATAATTGCAATAATTCTTTCATGTTTATGTACCCAATAGGTATATGTATTAATTAGAGAATTAATCCAACCGTTGCTTACTTACCAACAGAATCTTTCTTGAAAGATATTTAGGTAAAATTAGCTTTACTCGTTGATAACGTGGAGGAATGTTACGCGCATGTTCAAAAAGCGGTTCACACACGTGCTCAAGCGCATGAATGGGAGGTCCTAGGGCGCAGGGCAGGGCAGGCGAGGCGGGGTGAGGGGGGGAAGCTTAGGGTACGCGGGGCGAAGGCTTTTTTCAGGCGGCAGTACCTCGCGTCGCGCCGACATACGCGCACGTTAGCGTCGCTGCGCAAAGTAATTTATAATAGTTTTTTTTTTTGTTTTTAAGTCGACAGTGTTTTGTTTATTATTTAAGGTGAGTTCGTTAACTTATTTAAGGTTTGTGGAGTTATAATGATGAGATAGTTTCTTGATTTTTAGTGGTTTTGTGGTAGATAGAGTAGTGTTTTGTTTTTGTTATCATTGAACACGTAAAGATAGTAATTTGGAAATATTAATCTTCATATTGAGATACTAGACGCCGTATTTTTACACGTGCGATCATTAGTTGTTATAACTTAAATGCAATAGTAACTCATATATGTATATATATTTTTTTTAATTTAATTAACTTCAATCCAGAATCTTGAAACAAAACACGATGAACATAAAATAAATAATGCCTCTATTTCAAATTCAATAGGTCTTCATTACAAAATGGCCACCGATCCTGCGCCTTTGTCAAAGACGGCCAAGTATAAGAAAATCACAAAACCTCTACTGGAGAGGAAGAGGCGTGCCCGCATCAACCGATGCCTGGACGAATTAAAGGACCTCATGGTCGGGGCTTTAGAGGTAAGTTCAATTAACTATTAATGTGAAACAAATCTAAGCAATTACTCTTAACCATATCATTGTCAACAATATAAACTTTAATTGAAGTAAAAAAAAAACAACTCCAGTTTCACTTTTTTCTTTATCCATCATCAAAACGCAATCCATCTTTCATTCACACGCAATTTATTTTTATCGCGGACCGGTCGTCCTTCTGTTTATTGCACGAGCACTTATCTGCTCGCGGCGAAACTGGAATTTAAAAGTACAAGTCCCATTTATAAACCGTATAACTTACTCGCGTCCGTCTCCCTATTCTGTTGTGCCGTACAGTTATAATAAACTGACCATGTCAGGTACCAGTACCGTGGGAAAGCCTGATAGCCTGCACCTGCTTATACGCACCTTTTTTGTTTTGTCCACAGATCGATGACGACAACTTGAGCAAGTTGGAGAAGGCCGATATCCTTGAGCTAACCGTTAACCATCTTACAAAACTGCACAGCCCTAAAGATCCTGTTTTGGAAGCGAAGAAATTCCAAGCCGGCTTCGGACAATGCGCTGCGGAGGCGTGCCGCTTTATCATGTCAGTTCCTGATCTGGACGAGAAAGTCAGCCAAAGTTTGATAAGCCACTTATCGAGGTTGATCACGGCTCAGCCGTTGACCATTCAAGTACCTGAGCGGCCGCCATTCTCGCCACCAACGTCACCTTTATCCGTAGTTTCCGACAGAAACCATTACTACAGCGACCAAGAGAGGTCATCGTCGGACGCTGAGGATTCTGTATACTCCAACGAAAGTGCGACAAAGCAATGGACTTACGCGCAACCGAACACTGTCCAGCACCACAAAGCCCCCCCTCAGGCGGGCGGACTACTAACTACTGTCGATAAAGTCCCACCCCCACATCACGTTACGGAACAAATGAACGCTGCTAGTCATCACAGAAGCAACGTCTATTTCAACAGAGTACCGGCCGAAGCGAAGGATGTTATACTTCAAAAGATTAGACAACACATAATGGACAAACGCGGTAACGAAAACGTCATTAGTGAAGTACACACTGTTGCTGATGCAGCCGGCGAACCAAAATACTTGTACAAAGAGGAAGTATACAGAAGTGATTTGGCGTACCAATACTCGCCGGCGAACGTCCCCAACACGGACACGCTGGACTTGAGGAAGTTCAGATCGCCCATTAAGACCTCAGTCGAGGACACATCGCCCAGAAAAACCGCTCAGACCTCCAACAGATTAGACACGCAACCCGCCGCGCCCGAGATCAAAGTTGATACGGCCAATCTTCCGGAACAGTGCGAATCGCCGATGGATTACAGCAACTTACCACCTAAAAAGAAAAGGAAATTAATCGAGTACCAGGAGTACAAAAAACAAGAGGAGGCGAAGCGGCGGCTCGAGGCTTTTTGCGCCGCGAAAAAAGGTCGGCCGAGCGAAGATGCTCCGGCCGACGAAGAAAAGTGGCGACCCTGGTAACTCCAGCGGACGCCTAAACTTACAATGTGATATTTAAGTAGATTCTTCCATTACAAAGCTTTAATTAATTTATGTATGTTACTTAACGTATGTTTCATACGCGTGCCTTAATTATTAATATGTCTTCCTCGTAAGTTGTGTGTTAGAATATAGTCATTATGATATTGTAATTTCAAATTTTATTTATGTGCCATTTTTTGATCTCTATGCCATTAGATATGTTTCTAAACAGAGAAATATTGTCTTCCAAATAATTTGTGTTATCATTGTAATTTAAAAATTTACTTACTCATAAACTTTTACTGGTATAAAAAGAAGGTGAACATTTTAAATAAATGATTGAATTAAAAGCTTTCTATTTTATCCCCTACAAAAGACATAAACGAGACGCTGGAAAAAAAACAAAATTACAATAAAATTAAGGAATTTTAAAAAAGTACTTCTATCTAGATTTTTGCACAAATTAGGGCTAATACAGATCAGTTCATCATTCCAATAGAATTAAATTTCGGTTCGGAGCATTTTAATCGTTCAATTAAATTCGTAAAAATGGCTAGGTAGGTATCTAGTCAGATATAAAAAATATTATCGGTATTGTAATCTTTAATTACTTAAAGAATCCGGTGCATCATGAAAAAATAGTAAAGGATTTTTATCTAAGTAGGTCTCACTATAACCCTAACAAGAAAGTGTAAAAAATATATCACTGTCGTATAAATAGTCGTGTAAAAAAACAATAAAGATATTAATAAATTGTTTTACCTGCCATTTTTTAGTCAATTCGTTAACTTGTTAACATAATCATTTCGAAACTCATCAAACTAATTAGGCAAATTTAAATGCTCCTCGTAACATTTTCAAAACGTTTTGTTTTAGTACCCCTAGCGCCATCTTGAGTAATATTTAAAAAACTTTTTAAAAAGCAGTGGCAATCATCAGCACGCATGCTACTTTAGTTTTTAATTGAGAACTTAGTAATACTGTTTGTCTATAGGTGGCGTCGTTGCAGTGAGCAATCTATTCAAAAGATAGCGCTTTAATGTCTCTGTTGATACAGAAAATTTAATGAGAAAACAAGTCTGGTTTTACTTAATTTTGCCAATTTATAGGAAAATATATATATAGGAGGAGCTTGATGGCGCAAGTGGTTAGCGCGATCAGCTGCGATCGTTGAAGTTAAGCAACTTTCGCAGTGGTCAGTCATTGGATGGGTGACCAAAAATTTACTATCTCGAGTTCCTCCGTGCTTCGGAAGGCACGTTAAGCCGTTGGTCCCGGTTGCATCTGCAGTCGTTAGCACCCACCAATCCGCACTGGGCCAGCGTGGTGGGTCATGGCCCAATCTCCCTATTCCATCCATAGGGAAGGCCTGTGCCCCAGTAGTGGGGATATTAATAGGCTGATGATGATAGGAAAATACAATATTAAGTTGTAATATTTATATAAATTATTCTTAAAATTTGTGTTTAAAACTAACATTATTGGTGACGTCTTATTTGTATACCGAGATTGGCCAAATTAGTTAGTTAAATGACTCTATGTCATTAGTTGGCAGCGTAGCGCAGGGCAGTGTGACGATTGCCTAAAGCATGAAGAGTAGAGAAAGTGACGAAGTGTATTAGTACCTTCTTCTTTTAATGCATTCCAGTTGTTATAACCATGCTAAAACAAATAAGACAACACAAGACGTCCCAAATAATGTTAGTTTTAAGTACAAAAATATATAAAGATGGTATAATATGAATAGAAAAATAAATACCATCATCAGCAGCAGCCGATGGACGTCCACTGGACATAGGCCTCCTCCAGGTGGGTAAGAGGGCGAAGCGTTCATCTCATCGCCCCAACTGACCTAACCCCAACCTCACCTGCTCGTGGTCCTCCCTGCTGAATAACGAACGAGGTTAAGACGACCGATAAACGGTTGTACAATCATTTTTGAAATGACCAGACTGGGTAAAACAGCAGACCGATGTTGGGCAGCAGCGACACCGGTGCGATAAGTAGCCTCTGCGAAAGAATGACCAACCCGCACGCCCAGCGTGGTCTATATATTGGGCATAAACCTTCAATGGGAAAAACACATAAATATTACAACTTAATATTATATTGTTCTGTAATTTAGCACAAATATGCAAAAGCAGACTTGTTTTCTCATTAAATTTTATGTAGCATATAACAGAGACAATTATAGCGCCATCTTTTGGATAGCTTGCTCCCTGCAGAGACGCCACCTATAGACAATCAGTATTTCTAAGTTCTTAATAGAAAACTAAAGTAGCGTGCGGCCGGATGACAGCAATCTGCTTTTTAAAAAGCTTTAAAATATTACTCAAGATGCCGTTAGGGGTATGAAAAAGGAAAAGGTTTAATTGAACTGATTACAAAGGTTTCAAAGCTCGTATTTAAGCTTCAGTACCCCTAGTACCACAGTGTACATTATACTCGCAAACTATTCGGATTCGGTATTGGTTTGTGCTAAGGGTACTGCAGCCTAAGCACGAACCGATATCGAATTCGTACGAAATTGTACTGTTCAATTTTGTATGGAAACTTGAACAGCAGCGCCACAACGGACGTAACGTATACTTAAAAATCAGTACACTCTACAGTAGTCTATTTCGAATTAAACTATTTGAATTCGACCACAGAGATGTTAAACTTTTGTTTCTGATATCTATGAATTCGACAATGGTTCGTGCTGAGGGATCACGTGCCTACATGCAGAAAAACACGCGCCAACACTCGGCGATCGGGGTAAAATGCAAGGTGACTTTAGCAGAAATACGCGTAAGTAATTATATATCATAAAAAGGATATCGATATCGATCGATTTATATTCAAAATAGAAAGTCATAAAGCAATTAAATTGAAAAAAATAATAATTAAAAATACACGCTTAAAGAGGTTCAAAATGCATCTTTTTATTACTTTTTTTTAACATTTTGTATCCTTTTCAGGCTGTGTCGTCAGAATTATGATTTTTATTTATTTTTGATAGACATATCTTCGGTAGAAGAATGAGAAGACACATTTGTAACCTGTTTAAGCGTGTTTTTTTTGAGTGGTGTGTATGAAAACTTATGAAACAAATATGATATTTACTTAATGTAAATAATAAAAAGACTTTTGGCGGGATCGGGAAGCGTTACTTTAGCAGTTTTGTTTTTTTGTTTAAAAATTGTGTTTTGGCGGTTGTTAGTGTCTAATAATGGTGGATCATTAACCACTAAGTGTTCGGGAACATGCACAAGTGTTGGCAAGTGAAACAAAATAGCGGAAAGTGTCTTTCGACGTTCTCTCAAGAAGTCCACGGGGAGGTTCCAGTAAATCCCCACACTTTTACTGAAACATAGGGAAAGGGGAATTGACTTGACTGCCACTTACTTTAACTTGATTTATTACTTTGACCACGAGTGCTATAGTATTTGTAAACATTTTAACACTTGACAATGGCGAAATCATTGGCGAAATGCACAAACATTGTGAAGCCATTTAGAAAAAAAAACTATACACATGATTTTTTCCTTTTTTGTTTTACAAACTGCATTATAAACCATTTTTAAGACAATACTCTGCACTGAGGTAGTGTATTCTGTGACTGAGGTACTGTCACTACCGCAAACTGCTGTAAAATGAGCCAATACTGCAGCCCCGCACGTAGCACGTAATGTGCGGGTCAGTGTGAGAATTGCCTTAGTAGGTATTCATATATGACATATTTTTAAATCGTTCTTGACTGATTTTTAAACTAAAATAAATATATTTAATTGTAATGTTTCACACGCGATATTAAAAATCGATTTCTTTTCTTGCTAACACGGAGCCTGTAAACTTACTAATACTGCAATTTTAATAATATTTGTAATGAAAAAGTTACTAAATTGTGCTTATACCTATTCAAAACGTGTTTTAATAAATTCATTGAAATTTATTAATTGGTTTTCACCATTAAATTAAATTGTAAAATCAGCGCCATCTGGTAGATTATTTGAAAACGACTTACTACCGTTGAAGTGACGCTAAGCTACTTTCATTAGTACTTGTAGTAATTCTTTTCACTGCTAGATGGTACTTTTACATATTTTTGAAATGGTTCCAAATGGGTTTTGTTAATTTCGTAGTAAACAACCTGCACTACTGCATAAAACTATAGATATAAGACGTGTTTAGTTAAATGCATAAAATATTTTATTTCAGAGTAAAGTTATTAAGATTATTATAAGTACAATATGGCTTAGTCTACCCATCACTAGATGGTTCTGGTATCCAACAAGATTTTCATCGTAAACATCTGCTTACCATTCGGGCTCTTGTTTTGCCGCGCGCGTAGTAGTAATAATAGTGGAGTGGTGGTGGGGCGTAACACAAGCAAATCAGACTCATTCAATTCATTCATACGTTGACGCGCCGTCCTGTTGGCCAGTCAACGAATTCCATATTTGAAACATGGCACAGCACGTAAATAAGCGCGTGCGTATAACGAACTTTTTCGAAGTTTGAAATTATTTATAACGAATTTGACAGTTGCATTTGACTTTAGTTTGACTGATATTGGGTACAAAATTTTGTTTATTTACTTGAAGCAGCTGTATTATTGTGTGTTGTGTGACAAAATGTGTTATGGTGTTGTGTGATCGCTGGTACAATGTTGTGAGATGCTCGTGAGTGAGCAGTCACCGGCGCCACGCGTGGTGGCCGGACTAAGAAAGCTACACCCTGAGCTGACTCCAGGGCCCGTTCCGACGCCAGCCGATCCTAACTTGAGGATATCAGGTCAGTTCTTGCCTTCTCGCGCTTTGAACTTTACAAGTGGGTTACAAAATTACAATACAAATACCTACTTAGCTAAACCGAAACCGTGCCGTGTTTACAACTTGGCCCTAATCAGTGATGAAATAATATCAACACTCTGACCTAAATTTGGCATTCGCCTATTAAAATTTATTGTGCTTATGTTATTCGAGCCAAACAGTTTCAAAACAACAATCTTTCTGTTATAATCATCGATGTTTATACTTAATAAATTATCCTCTAAACTGGTTTGGAGTGTGCTTTGATTATACCTATACAGTTTTGATTTTCTTTGCTTTCAATTAACAATATAGCTAGGTTAGAAAGTTAACTTGCCTCTGTCCTCAGATACAAAACTCTTAGGTACTTTTTTATTCGATCTGAGCCTGTGTCACAGTCGAACCGCCTATATTAAATGGTAACTTCTAGGTGATAATCGAAATTAAGTCGCCCTTTGAACACAGCAGGTTTGGGAGGCATGTCTGTCTAGTCTGGAGCTGGTCTTTGTTCAACTTCGATCAACAATACTTGATCGAAGTTGTTCAATCTTAAAGCTAAGACATGTGGGTACTAACTACTTACAGTCCCCTCAGGCCCTAAGGTTCGAGTCTCAGATCTCGAGTGGTTTTGTGACTAGGTTGGAGTGGAGACTCACCCCTAGGGGAGATGCCCTCCTCCTTTTTTTAAACGTCAGGAAAATGCGTTACGCATACCTTTCCGCCTTGGGAGTGCGGCGAGGTTATGTGGGACTCCTCCCCTCCTCCTCTCGTTCAGAAAACTACTAGAGGCACCCGCCATTTCCCGGCTCCTTAGAGTTAGGATCTCGCCGATCCAAGCTCGATGACGCTGTAAAGGTCATCTGCGTATAGGGTTACCATCCGTCCGTATTTGTTCGGACATGTCCGGACTTTTTGCATGTTGTC